TATGGGCCAGCTGCACGCATTGCACCATTAGCTCGAGGGGTGGGCAGAGCAGGGAAGATGTGGGAAGGCGTGGCTGCATACACTGCACAACAAAGTTCAATTGTTGCGGCCATTTAAGTGCAGTTTGAAAAACTACTTTGATTTCTGGGTTAATTAACTAACAGCAACAGCAAACAACAATTGGTAATTGATGCGCCGTACACAGAGTCAAGCCCCTACCCCCCTCTCTCCCTCCTTCACTCACCCCCTTTGGGCAATTGTGGGTAATCACCTTAACGCGTTTTTTATGACTCTGGCGTTAATATACCCTGCCATTTAAGTTGCGCTGTGGGTTCTATAATAGAACTTTTATTTATATTAGAATTGAATCTTTTTTTTTTTGTTTTTTTTTTTTTTTTTAATTCATTTCAAATATTGCTAAAGTGTTAAGTAAATGAATTCTCACTTAACCTCGTATACTATCTTTAAAGTTGGGTTCCTTTTCTGTTTATCCACTAATCAGTATATTTGTTAGCCATATATGGCTTATCATAACTTTTTGATATATTATTCGTACTATGCCCATACTAGGATACGAGATAGACGTATATTAGGTGTTAAATTTTCATTTTAGCAAAGCAAAGGTATTTGATAGTCGTATATGCATGGCAATGAGTGCAATTCTTATATCTTTGATTTCCATACACATATCTCTACACTAAGATACACCTAGCATAGATAAAGTTCTCTCGCTTTGTCACCCAAAACTATTTATTTGTTAAGCAGAGTATTACCTAGTCGTGCATGCCCTGCCTTTGACTTGAATTCTCATTTATTTGGAATTTGGAGCCACACAACAAATTTGCACACGATTGTCGAACGAACTGCGTGAAGTGAGGGCAAGAGGGGCGCAGCTGCAAAGGGAGGCTGCTCACTAAAAGCTTGCGCAATGCTTAGCAAACGCAACAGCTGCTGCTGCTGCTGCTGTTGCTGCTGTCAGTGTCTCTCCCCCGCCATGCCACAGATTGCCGGAGACATAGAGGAGAGACAAATTCTGTGGGCCAGTGGGGCAAGCAGCAGCAGAGGCAACATCACAGCCCACAGCCAATCGAGGCGGGCAAAAAACCACTTGACGCATCGCACGGGGCGTGGTGCGTGCTGCGTGGTTTGCAGGTCTTCGTAATACAGGTGGCTGTGGCTGTGGCTGCTAATGCTGCTGCGCCCTGTGCAATCGAATTGTGGTTAGCAGAGGAATGGGTGCAACTAGATCTAACTGTATATATATATATATATTGTTACATGTATATATATTCACATTGTTTAATATGCAAGCTCAATGGGCAAAGTGGAGCTAGGTGTACGTGTGTGTGTGTGTGTGTGCGTGGTGTGTGGTGTGTGGTGTGAAATGGAGTACTTCAATGTGGTTGTAGATGCTGCTGTTGGCTCCACTTTGATCTACTGCCGACTGCGACTGCTGCTGCTGCTGCCTTTTGCGGCAGTTTCTGTTATACAACACGCATTGTTGTAGCAACAAAAAACTCTTGACGATATAGACACAGATACAGATACATATGCATATTCTCTTGTCTTAGAAATGTTCATATTATTTCATATATAAATCCATAAATACCTTAACCTCATTCATAGCGCTGAAGAGGCATTTCTTTGCCTTATTCATATTTGAAGTTAGCATTTATTTAAATAGCCGTCATAAACATCGAATTTGACTAAAAAGCCTTATCAAATATATTAACGAATGTCTGTTCATATTTGTTAAATAAATATGTTCCATAAACTTGTTCACAGCTCCTAAAAGATATTTCTTTGCCTTAATAGCTGGCATTCATATTTGAAATTAGCAATATCTTAAGGAATGTTTATATATAGTTATATATTGCCCCATCCATAGCTATATTGTTCATTTGACTTTCTCGCTCCATGGCAAAGCTTTTTCCCCTTGCTCACTTTTATCTAACGCTTTAAGAGCATCTTTTATCTTTAGCCTTTCAACTCTTTTTCGCTGCCTTCGTCCACTTCTTTTTATTTTCGGCTTGCCTCAGTGAATTTCCATTAGTCTTTATTCTATTTACTCATTTACACACACACTTACACAGAGAAAATTCACTTAACTTTATTGCACAGTGCTCAACATTTTCCATTTTTCTCTCTCTCCAATTTTCCCAATTGGATTCTCTGGTGATTTGCATAGAACTCAAACTCAAACTCAAATTGAAACTCAAACTCAACCTCGAGGTCAAATCAAATATGTTCGAGTTAATCTGTTTAGTCATGTGTCCAAGGGGCGTGGCAGCTAGTGGGCAGTGGGGGCGGAGTAAGGGGCGTGGGTCATAGACTTTGTAGCAAATATTTGCAAAGTTTTTGTTTCCTATATGTTTTAGGCAATTTGCACTGAAAAACTGAAACTGAAAAACTGTTCGAGAAGAGAGTAAAATTGATATACAACATATTTTTTGACTCTCTCCTTGTCTCTCTCGCGCTCTCTCGCTCTTTCTCCGTCTTTGTTGATTTACTGAGACGGCAAGCGGCATTGGGCTTGGGTAAATAAAGTAATTCACATACTTTATTACATGAGCGAAGCCGAAGAGTTTGCCATATGAAATCACGTTACGACAGCACGTAATTGTCTGATTATGCAGTCTCAAATATATATGTATATATATACACATATACGTATATAAATGCAAATGTATCTGTAAATGTAGCTGTGTATCTGTATCTTTTTACCAGAAATGTGCAATGTGCGTGTTTTTGTTGCTGTTGTCTTATTTGGTTCTTTTTCGTTCAGTTCATTCTTCATTTTTTTATGACTTCGATTTGTCGCTGCATTTTTCATCCAAGCGGTCGTATGTATCTGAGTATCTGTCAGATACTTGTGCTGAAACTGAATACTTGTGCCTAGGTAGGCAATCCATTTGCGAACAGCTGCACATCCATTGTTGACTTTACCTTTTGAAAAACATTTTTAACTCGTTTTCGTTTTGGGTTTGGTTTTGGTTTTGGTTTTGCTTTTCGTCATGATCATCATCATCATCATCATCATCATCATATGCTTCAATTATATATTTTTGTCGCATTCAGCAGTTTCTTTGCTTCGAATCTCGTCGATTTATTTGCTTTTGTTTATTGTACGTTTATTTATTTATTTATTTGCAGTTGCTGATTCTTCTTGAATTGTTTAGCTCTATTTGCGATAACTTTTGCGAGTGATTCATAACTTTTATTATTTATTTCGATGCTTGTTCATGAACTGTTGAGAGTTTATTTAGCTATGAATTGAGGTTGAAAATTTATTGTTTTATTTGTATTTATATTTCTGATATTATAGAAGTGGTAGCGAGTATCGTGCAGTCGTTAACAGCCGACAGCAGCGTACTTTATTGTTTTTCCTTGTATTCCATATTGCGGCAATCGTAGCTTATAAAAATTCACTTGAATTCTTTGCAATTGGCCATTGGCAACTGGATGCGGCTGCTCACAAACTGGTTGCACCTGCTTTGGCAGCTTGGCCAATCTATAGCCAATCGATTTTCACTCTTGGACAGTTTTCAGCTCCATTAGTGCATGCCATTAATTTGACCGAGCACCGTTAGAATATGAGAAAAATTGCTGGAAAATGTGTTTCCAACTCTTAGCTTGCTCAAATTTGTTGTCTAATAGCATTTTGATAGAATCTGCCAAAGCAAACGCCCCGCTGGCTAATCAATAAAACCAAACTATCAACAGCTTCAGCTGCTGTTGCTTCCTCTTCCTCTTTCTCTGCTAAATTATTATCTCCTCTCGTTAGGCACTTGATTTATTATGGTTAGAGCGTCGAGCGTCGGGCACAGCTGCTCTAGGAGCTTCAATTAAAACTCTATTAAATGCAAAGTGACTTTAAAGCAGACAGAAGAAGCCGCAGCAGAATCCGATAAAGGAGAGCATGAGAGACGAGAATGAGTTTTGGCCCAGTGAAGCGCTCTCTATAAACTGGTTAGGGAACAACTCAATTTTAAACGGCAAATCAATTTATGACTCTGATTAAAGCGACAGCTAATTGAAATACATTTTTACGCCTTGATTGACTGACTGACGGCAGTTGACGGCAATTGACTTATGCGCATAAACAGTTTCCAAGTCACGTTATATTTCAATTTAAGCCAAAACTAAAGGAGTTGAGAAAAGGCTAAACAAGCTTTCATCTGAGTGTAAGAAAAAAACTGTAAATTTATATAGAAAGTATATTAGCAATCAATAGTTTACTGATTGATAAACCTGTTTTTGGCTACTGCGCTTTAAGATATAGAAGAGACAACATAGAATTTGAAAAAAAAAAAAAACAACCAGATCATAAAAAAGGTATTCATATATAAATATTTGATAAATAATAATAGCACTTTTGTAAGATGTACATAATTTAAGATACTTCTAAAGCACACCTCGCTTATCTATATGTGTAGAACATAAAACTAAAAATATTCCATGAATCTGCACAGTTAGCTCAGAATTAATGTTGACTTTAAGCTACAATAAACAAGCTTAAACTAAGACATTGTCTAGTTCATAAGTCAAAATGATCTACAACTAAGCAAGAGGCCTTAGATTATAATTCAACATGCAGTATAATTAGCTGTGGCTTATAATTCAAACTGATAATTGAATAATTATACTTAAATAGCAGACAACATGCTGCCCATTGCCCATTGCTAGTGCTCGAAAAGTGCATTTAGAGCTTGCTTGTTTACTTCCATTTGCTTTGTGACGCATTTTATTGACGTCGTCAACGCCTGCGCTCATGGTCAGCGAAATTGGCGTTGTTCGTGAAGTATGCAGCGCGTCGAGTTCAAGCGTATATGTGACTATATGAGACAGCGTCAAGGTCGCATGGAAACCCACACCACAACATAAACTGATAAAGAAAGACAAAAGAATAAACAATTTGCTAATAATATAAATTTTTATATACACAAAGTCAACTCTACTTAAATCTACTCTCTTCTTTCTCTCTCTCTCTGTTTCTGTAGGGCCGTCATACAAAAACTGGTCAGTTGGCTGCCATAAAGGTGATGGATGTCACCGAAGATGAGGAGGAGGAGATCAAGCTAGAGATCAATGTGCTTAAGAAATACTCAAATCATCGCAACATTGCCACCTACTATGGTGCATTCATTAAGAAATCGCCGCCCGGCAAAGATGATCAGCTCTGGCTGGTCATGGAGTATTGCGGCGCTGGCTCCGTCACCGATCTGGTCAAGTCCACAAAGGGTCAGAGCCTGAAAGAGGAATGGATCGCGTACATCTGCCGTGAAATCTTGCGCGGCCTCAGCTATTTGCATTCGAACAAAGTCATCCATCGCGACATCAAGGGCCAAAACGTGTTGCTCACCGATAATGCTGAGGTCAAACTGGTTGACTTTGGTGTCTCCGCGCAGCTGGATCGCACGATAGGCAGACGCAATACATTTATTGGTAAGCTGAAATTCACGCATGACTCATGCGCGGCGTCGAGTCTAAACTTGTCTTTTTATTGCGCAAACAGGTACGCCCTACTGGATGGCACCGGAGGTCATTGCCTGTGATGAGAATCCAGAGGCCACATACGACAATCGCTCAGATTTGTGGTCGCTGGGCATCACAGCTTTGGAAATGGCTGAGTCACAGCCGCCACTCTGCGATTTGCATCCGATGCGTGCACTATTCTTGATACCGCGCAACTCGCCGCCGCGTCTCAAATCCAAGAAATGGTCCAAGAAGTTTCAGGGCTTCATTGACACGGTGCTAGGTAAGGCGACTGCAAAGAAACCCTGTCGTATATTTAACTATTTAATGCCACTTTCAGTTAAGGACTATCACCAGCGGCCTTACACCGAGAATCTGCTGAAGCATGCCTTCATCAAGGATCAGCCAACGGATCGACAGGTGCGCATACAGCTCAAGGATCACATCGATCGCTGCAAGAAGCGCAAGCAGGAGAAGGAGCGTGAAGATTATCGCTACTCGGGCTCGGACAACGATGACGACGAGCCGCAGCTGGCCGGTGAGCCCAGCTCCATTATCCAGGCGCCGGGTGGCGATACCCTGCGTCGCAACTTCCAGCAAATCCAAGAGGGACGCATGGCCGCCGAACAGCAACAGCAGCAGCAGCATCATCAGCTGCTCGCCCAGGCCCAGGCCGCTGCCCATGCCGCCGCCCAGGCCCAACTGCATCAGCAGCAACAGCAAGCTGCCGCCGCCGCAGCAGCAGCTGCGCACGCAGCCCAGCAGGCGCAGGTGGCACAGCAACAGCAGCAGCAGCAGGCGCAGGCCCAACAGCCGCAGGCCAATCGCCAGCAGAAGCCAACATCGGTTAGTGTTGTCACGATAGCTGCACGTCCTAATCTTACGCTTCTGAACTCTTGCAGCGCCAACAGATTGAGGATCCTGGTCCGCCGGCACGCCCACAATTGCCACAGCGGTTGATTGTGGTGCCAGATCCACCGCATGCCAATCGCCCATTGCCACCGACGCCCAAGTGTGGTGAGCCAGCGGCACAAACGCCGCCCCAACAGCTGCAGCGCAGCTCTCAGAACAATTTCAAGCCATCGGTGCGTATACTGAATAAACAGAGAGTGACATTGCGTCCGTTTGGCTAGAGAAGTCTCGAGGAAATCTTAGCTAGGAGTGTCTCTTGATAGAAGGCACGACTGCAGCTAGATGAAAGATGAGAATAGACAACAGGAATTTGTTAGTTAGGAGTACCAAAAGCTCTATGAGCTCTATGAAGCTGGAGAAACTTAGAGCAAGCAGAAGAAATATGATTTCTTTATAGACTACAAATTTTCTATAAAGTTTGTTAGAAACATTTTCATTTGCAGAACTCAGAATAGATTTTATCTATGCTCTTGAATTGATTGAAAAACTATACTTAAACGTCAATTCAGAGTAAATTGTATACAATAGAATAGATGTATGCTATGCTTAAAAGAATCAAACGCAAGTGCATAGAGCAGCATTAGTTCTTATAGAGACTACAGTCTTTAAAAGTTACATTTTATGTTTAAAATTACCATATGAGTATCTGAAATAGTCTAACCAAATAGACTTAACACAGCTAAAGGTAGAATAAGCTTGATTAAGCCAACCCAATTGCGAATATTTACAATTACTTTTCATTTTATGAGTTTTACATAGTTAGATAACTTTTCTGCGTATAATAGTCCCCGCCCTTTTCAAAAACCCCGCCCATTTGCGCTTACAGCTCATACGTATAACCCCCCCTTGTTAAATCGCAGCTCATTTATAATTTATACCTGTAAAAATCCAATTGTACGATTGTATATTTACGATATGATTTTTGAACTTCTTTTATTTTCATGTTTTGTGCGCCTACCATATAACATATATGCATATACATATACATATATCTATGTAAACTATATACAAATCGAATTTATGATTTCGCTCATGTGTGTGTATGTGTGTGTGTGCGTGTACATCATCCCGTTGCGTCAACTTTGTGTAATATGTATATCAACCAACGTATAATTTGTCAAACACTACCAAAAAACAAAACAAAAATACCAAAAAAAATACTACACATGACAATCATACAACAGTTACCACCAAGGAGACCTGAGGTATGTTTTTCCTATCATTTATCATTTGTAGCCTTGCTCGCTCGCTCCTCTCTCTCTCTCTCTCTCTTAGTCTCTATCTCTATCTCTGTTTGTCTTTCATTTGTGTATTTTATGCTTGTTTTCATTTTTTATTAGTATTTTATATGTGTATATGTATTGCTCTCTCTTTTGTGAGCCACCTTTGTCAAAATTCTAAAAAACAAATTTTTTTCGGAGGTACACACAAAGCAAAAATACTGAAACAAATAATCAAATATAGCCAGCCCATGCACGTGCCCACTAATCCACAGTAAACCAACAACTAAAAAACAAAAAAACAAAATATCAAACAACACTTTCCATTTTCCAAATGCAACTAACCAAATCAGAAACCCCTAAACTGGTTCTAAACAAAATTTATGTTGCTGTGATTGATGCGTTTGTAATGCCAAAAAGTATGATAAAAAGAAACGTTAACTAACCCCGGCAAGTTTCATAGATAAAACAAGTAAGAATGTGACAGTCGGATGACACCGACTGCGTAATACTCGTTCACGTTTACATAAATAGCTGAGAGACTGATGTAATCAAATCTAAATCCTTGTAAGATACAACTTGATCCGATTTATATATATACGTAAGCGTATATCTTCCAAATATTTTTGCACCCAACCAATATACTCTAATCAATTTGTGAACGAGCATATATAAGAAGAAGAAGAAGAAGAAGAAATACTAACCGAGCTTTCTCTAATGTTTGGAACTGTTTGTTGTTTTCTTTAATTATCTATCTATATAAGAAGTGTAAGGTGTAAACCAGTCTAATTCTCTCTTTTCATTCCACCCCCCCAAAATATATACAAATGCATTTGTTTCCCGTTACAACAAACTCCAACAACAACAACAACAATTACTGTGGGTACCACGTGCAAACACACAAACTCCACTACATTAAATTACACTACACTACACAAYATACACTACACTACACCACACAACACACAAAAATCCTCCGTGTGAATTCGAAAAAAAAAAAACTTGACCCGAAAAACATTTTGTAAAATATGAAAAAACATACGAAAAAAAAACCAAATACCTGTAGGATCATTTGGATGTGTTAGCAGCGCAATTAAATGAATTGGGCGTGGTCTCCTCCCAACAGCCGCAGCCACAGACAGCAGCAGCAGGAGGCGGTGGTGGACAGCAGCTGGCACAGCCGGAGGCGCCGCCACGCAACAATCGACAATCGGGCGCCGGCAATGGAGCCATCTGTGTGTCGGCCTCCTCATCGTCATCGTCGTCATCGAAGCCGGCAGCCGCATTGCCATCGCAGTCGAACAATCATTTGGGACAGCCGGTCAATCCGTTGGATCCGCTCGACAGCAGCGACTCGGACAGCGAACCGGACGAGCCCAACGATCGGGCACGCAACGATGGCACTCTACTGGCCAGCGATCCGCCCAAACCGCTGTAAGTAGTCGCACACTTAGATACCCTATTCAAAAAAGACACAAAACGGCAGGCGTGGCAACATTTGCAATGAAACAAATATAGCAAGAAGAAGCAATAATCATTTTGTTGCACATTGCATGTTTATTGCAAAACACGCACGGTAATTTATAAAAAAAAAAATATTCTATAATGGTTCTATTTGTGTTTAGGCAAGTTTTGATGGAATGAAATCATTTTTAATAGACAATAACTAGACTTTTTTAAGCAGTGACTGCAAAGGGTCGAGTACTAAAGATACTCTGGCAAGTCATGATTAAAAAATACCATAATTCTATTCGAAAACCATATTTAATATATTTTAAAGCTTAAATAAAAAATCAAATTTTGATAAAGTAGAACATATAGAAAATAGTTGATCAATGAATTCAAGTTCATATCATACAAAAAGTTCTACTTCTCCAGATAGTTTGGCAACTGCTAATTACATGAATTGATTGCATTTAAGATAAAGGATGAACTCTTCTTATATATTACAAACACAATATAGTATAGAGGAGGTTTGTTTAAAAAGTTCTGCGAATTTCAAATAGAACCATAAAAATATCAAATTTCTCATGTTAAGCAAAAATTATCAAAATATTTAAACATTAACATTAACATTCGCAACATTCTTAACTCTCACCCACCACCGTTATTTAATGCCACCCCACCACCCACCATCCACAATCATCCTCACTTTCCACCTCCTCACATTGATTTTCATGACACGGCAATTTTTGTTTGATTTTCTGCCGCCCCCGTTTTTTGCGTTTTGTGTTTTTGGTTCTCTTCCTTGGTTCGTTCCGTTTTGGTTTTTTTTATGCTCAGACCCGAATTTTCATATAGGCCCGGCCTGGGACCCGTTTCCGAGGATACGACAACAGCAACAACAACAACGACCACACCGCTGAGCCATGGCAGCGGCGGTCCACCAAATCGACCCTTGCCACCGACCCCAGATGACGACGATCAAGCCGGCGATCGAACGCTGATCATGAAGCGCGTAAGTCCGAAGCTCAAGCTAAATTATCAAATTATCTACTCTTTAATCTAAAAACTATATATAGTATCTAGTTTCTTTTTAGTATATATTTCTTTTAGTTTAGTTTTTAGTTAAAATTTTCATTTTCTTGAGATATTTCTATCGAGAGATACGCAGAATTTAGTTTCAGGTTTATTTCGACTAGGCAGCTGTACAAAATGTAATTAGGGTTAAAGGATTATGAAAAAAAAAAAAACAATTTATATAA